GACAACTGGCAGCTTGTAGCAGGACACGAAAACCTTCACTGCTCAGAGCTGGATGATTCAAGTAGCTTCCATGATGTCTTATCTGGGGCTGAAGGGGAAAAGAAACAGAGCCACAGATTTTATGCCAGAAGAAGCTTTGAAGGTAATTCCAAGGACTGTTGGACAATTTGTCTGGGAAAATCTGTTAGTAAGGTGTTAACATCCCTTATAGCTTCTGGTCCTGCTGAAATCAGAGGAGGCATATGAGGGGAACAAGACCGCGGTTATCAAGCTCAGTGGTGCTTTTTGGCTATTGTTAAGATCCCTTAAAACAAATTTCCAAAGGTTTAACTTGTGTACGAAAATAGACTTTTTTTTTTTTAATGTAGTGGATAGGAAAAAAGAAAACTGACCAGTGCCCCCCCGTATTCATGATGAAAAGGCAAACTGAAAATATCAACTAAATTTAGAACAATTATTCCTTTGTGCAATAGATAATCAGAAAAAGTAGAAACTGAAATAATTACTGCACTGTTCTGAATATAACGGTGACATATAAAAAGATGCTAAACATTCATTAACGTCTTTTATGGTTATGTTTGTGAGATGGTCAGCAGTCAACATACAAAGCAACTTAATTTTTGCTGAGATCGGGAGAGAACCTTTTCTTTCACGGACGACAGCGCAAATGTGTAGAAACAGGGGTGCCTTACTCGGTGCATTAGCCGTGGCGTTGCTAAAGGGAGGGAAATAAAAGATGTTCGGTCCGGTGTTTTGCAGGCAATAGAATTCCAAGCTAGAAAGACGTGATGCAGCAATCGGGTGGTGTTCAGAACAAGAAGGGATGCAGCCTGGTGGGTCTTTGTTTCTATGGTTACATTCAGCTGGAATTGCTGTAACTAGGTCAGGCTGGAAGGTGTGAATGAAAACAAAGAAATTTGGAACTGGTAATGAGAGTTCAGAGAGAAGACTGTTGCTACTAGGGAAAGCAAGAAGGGAGCTGAATGTGGAACCAGGCATTTTAATGTACATTTGTAATGTATATGTATGAAGTCCCACACAGAGGGATCTGTCTATTTTAGCATCATTCGCTCTTCCATCGTCATTCAGTAGTCTAGTGCATGAAGAACCATCCGCAGGCCACCATCAAGCAGGCATATTGTGCGATACACCTGCGGTGACACCTTCCCTCCCTCCGGCCGCGTATCCGGGCAGCAGGATAGGCAACAGGAACAGAAGAGGCCGTGGCAGCTGAAAGGGAGAGGCAGGACAGACGGAAGAGCGGGAGAGATTTGCTGGAAAGGGGAAACAACACCAAGGGCAGGGAAGATGAGGCACCCTCAGCCCAGAAGCGAGGAGAAACGGGTTGTAAAAGCGGTTTAAAAAGAAGCAACTTGGGTGTGAATTGCACTGCAGAGCCTACGCATCGTTCCTCTGTTGATGGCTTGGGTCCTTGGCCTTTTCTACTTTCTCCAAATTCTCTGCCTGGTTCATGATATAATTTTCCAGGCTGTGTCTTCACCCGGCATATAACGTTGACCACCAAGCCTCCGTCCTTTCCAACTAGCAAGCCATCTAGGACCAGCCACTTGGTACGTTGATCCCTTTCCCACGTTTCTTACCTCCTCGGTGCAGGACTGGGCATTTGCTCACGCTGAGCTACTCGATGTTCTTGTCAGCCTGCCCATCTTTCTTGCCCTCCAGCATATCAACCGTCCCCGTCCCCAGTTTGATACAATCAGAAAATCTATATAAAGGTGCATTTATCCCATTGCCCTGGTCGGAAGTGACAGCGTTTAAATAGCTCTGGCACCAGTATCGACGCCTTTAGGAACGCATCTTGTAACCGGCTACTTTTTGAGCAAGTCAAGATGATGAGGTCTATAGGGTGCCCTCAAAAACGTTCAAAAGAATTTCGTCCTGTGCCTCCGGCTGCACCAACCGTCTGTCACAGCCTGCAATTTGTTACAGTCTGGGCAGCTGAAGATGCCAGGGCAGCTGCCTGTTGCCGGGGCCCGAAGCTTCCTCCCCTCCCGTCATTTCCATCACCGAACCCCACGCCTGCGGCTACGGGGGCTGCATCCCCGGGCGTTGCAGCCCCGGAGCACGGCGGGGCTGGCCGGGGCCCCGCCGCCCGCGCCCC